CCCACAAGGCAGATAGATGACATCGCTCAGTGGTTTGGTGCACCTAACATCAGAACTAGCAACACCTCATTTTCCAGTGAGTCGCGACCCAATCTCAAGCTGGTGCTGGGAGGTGCTTGGGATAGGCGTAACAGAAGTCTCAAGACGCCCAGAGGCAGGTCCAGTCCCAGTTGTCCAAGACTGGCATTCCAGAGAGGACAATCTCACACTTAATGAAAGGTCCGTATCTTCTTGACATCCCTAAACATGGCACAACCAGCATCAACTTGTGAATGTAGATGAACCCCGCACTCAGACACGAGCGTGAATAACATAGCCGTAAGAACCAGTCAGCATCTTTAGATCAGTGTCGGGCCATTGCTGAAGGACGCTCGGCGTTAATGCTGCCGCTGCAATGACCATCCGTGGAGGCAGTCACCTCATGGCCGGCTTTGGGATTTCCATATAGTTTGCGGTTTTTAGAGGACGTGCACTCCAACCCGAGTGCGTGTCTTTATACATCATCTGGGCGCTGACCCCCACACCTGCGGCGCGGCCCAGGCTGTTACCACTGGGGACCACTCTCGCCCTCCCTCGGTATTTAAGGTGAAGGATGGTCAAATTAAATCTTGACGCCAGCTCCCCTCGTTCCCCCCCTCCCTCCCCCGGAGAGGCTTGGCGTCCAGAGAACTGCCGTCTGCGCACCCCCGCCCTGGGAAGTCGTTTGACATAAATTACAGGTGTCATATCATTTTCCTGCCCGGGCAATGTAATTTACCGCTGATCCCATTGACTGCGAGCTGAACCTCCAATAAAACAGTCAGACTGTCACGTCCCGGAGGGCTACCTTTCCGGATCTGCGACGCAAACGAGCAGGCGGCTCCCCGGTTAGGGGGGATTTAGCCTCTAAAACCCGGGCCCTCCTGCGTCTCCCTGCGCGGCTGCGATCCGCCGCTTTCCCTTCACTGTCGCCCGATTGCATAGCGTCTCTGCGTACGTAACTACGGAAAACTAACAGCTTCGTTATTCCCTCCAGCCCCTTTCTTTGGAAAGGGACAAGTTAATAATGGTTAAAGATCACTTTGGGAGATAATTAAATCGTGTCACGTTAACGGTGACAAACGTCCATAACGCGGATGTCAAAGCAGACCATCAGCAGCCGAGGGGGAGCTGAAACGCTTCAACCCGCGTTACTAACACGCTGCCCTGCATGCGCATCCTTTCATATGTATTACTGTGAATATTTATGTGTATCCCTTCTTGAATTTGTATATCTATGTTAATTTTACCTGTATCGCTTCTTGTATTTGTATATCTATGTGAATTTATGTGCATCCCTTCACTATTCACATAGAAACTGTATGCAATTTATCCATATCCTTTCTTTGTATATCAGTGTTTATTTATGTGTATCTATGTGAGTGCTGCTGCCTTTTTATCCATTTATCAGTATATTTATGCGTAGTGCTGCTTTTGAAATTTGTATATCTATGTACGTTATGTTCCTGCTTTTGTCCAGGTATCCAGCTGTATTTGTGTGTACTGTAGCTTATCAGTGTATCTGTATGCATTTTTGTGCATTTCTGCTTTTATCTATGTTTCTGAATGTGTTTGTTTATAGGTTTTCGGGGTCAGCTCTCAAAAAGGCATCGGGCTGCACCTCAAACAAAGCAGCAACTAAACTCACATAAGACATTAAACAGAAAAATAACAGAAACCGATCATATACAGAATATGGATGCATCACATACGCCATACAATATAAATACAGATAATTTCAGGGATGAGTCCCCCCCGGGAAGACCAAGAGCTCTACTCTGATATATTTCAGCTTTATGCAATTGTTTAAACATCAACTACATGAGTGCCATTGTTTATTTACAAGCGATAGATCAGAAAGTGACCATAGGAATATTACATCAAGGGATCCGGTCCCGGCTACGAGCGACCCCACACAGCGCGGAAAGCGGAGAGCGTTTCAAAGCTCGCTGGCGCCACCTGGTGGGCGTGCAGCGTGCCGCGGCGTGTCTTTACTCGGTGAAGCAGCAGTTATTTGTTTAAGAAGCACCGCGGGGGCTACGAGCCAGCGGAGCGTCTTAGAGATCCTCATGTACCGGCTTTGGGATGAATGTGCTAAGCTGCTGCTGAAGGGGATCGTTTGGAAGGGGTTACACATACGCGTCATCAGCGTGCCAGCGATTAAAGGCGGCGCTGCTGCTTTCGCTGCGTTTGTCACCCAGTTTATCTTCATCCATTTCTTCAGGGGCATGATTAAATAAATAACAGTTTTTCTTTGTGCGTGTTCGCCGCTTCCAGGTGTGGACCTGCAGCAGCCTTCAGCCAAAGACAGCATCCCGGACGGCCGATTAGGGTTTTGTTGCTGAATTTATGCTATTCGGCATCGTCTGGACTCCCTGCGTGCCACGTGCACAGTGATGCCGCCATTTTCCGATACAGGACATGCATCAGAAGCAGGTGGTCACGGCGGCAGGGGGCGTCTGCCCCCCGGGCGAGTTAAAGTAGTACTTTGGACGTTCTCAAACGACTCCTTAGTCGCGTCCGACGCGGAAGAGCAGGACACGTTGCCTCGGCGCAGCCGTTGTCAAGAGCTCCCGGTGCGGTCCCGGACGCCCTGTCCCGCACGCCTGCTGCAGCTCCTCCCGCCGTCAGCTCTTCCAGGCCTGGCCCGTCGCCGGCGGCGCTGACCCACTTACCTGACCAATGGCGTCCGCAGTGCACAAGCCCGTGAGAGGGAAGGTTGGGCTTCCAAGCCGTCGGTGGCACAGGGCACACCAGCTCCCGGTACGGGCGCGTCTGAAAGCCCTGCTTTACGGTGACAAACACACGGCCCGACGAGGCGAGACGCTGCCAATCGTACGGAGGTGACCTCTGTGCCTTTATTTACCGGAGTTGGACACGAATCCCATGATTGATGCCGGATGGAACTACACTGCAGGTCTGTGCTGCAGTGTCACATCCGCGGGGGTGACATTTCATTATCGTCATCCTAATGCGATACAGACAGCCGGCTGACGCCGGTGCATCAGAACCCGGCTAGCGTGTCGCTCGCTAATAGGCCCGCAAAGCCACGCAAGGCAGCTCCGCCACGAACACGCCGCTATAAATGCGCACACAGGTCGCACTGACAGTGCTCATGCCAAATGCAGGGTAACAGAGCAGTTTATGAGCGTCTTAAATAACAAACAGCTGGCTTGGCACTTTTTCCATGAGACACTGACTCTCAGGATGCTGTTTTCACTGACCTATTTACCGAAGAGATTCCCACCGTGGCGTCTGGTTCACAGATGCTTCATGTAAACGGACTCGCGCAACTTGACCTAATTATATCACTGCATAATAACTCATGTTAAACAAAATTCGGGGAGACTGAGCTATGAATGTCTACAGATTACAATGGATGTCAGATTAAATGACAATAAAACTTATACGTTAGTTTTTGGCTCAATTGCAAAAATCCTGCAAATTTTGCAGCCGCTGATTCAAAATGATTAATCTGAAGTTAACAATCGAACCACAGCGAACTTAAGAAGTTATCACTGGAACATTAGCTCCATCGTCTCTATGATTCTATTACTTACACAATCGAAATTAATGAACATACGCATAGATAAACTCAACCTGTTAAACCTTGTTAAGATCTCAGTCTGAGAACTCAGCAAAATAATCCATCCACTAGCTCAGAGCTATTCAAATCATGGTCTTCAAGGTCTGAACCCTGTTGAATTTACAGCCTTCCTTTACCTGTGAGCCAGGTGTGAAGCCTCTGGCCAATCAGAATCAGTAATTATTAAACTAACTACCGGGGAAAACTGAAAATAATCGATTTGCAATACAGTCTCAATGGAACAGCGCCACCCACTGACCAAGAGATGCAAGACGTTATTAAATTTCGTGTTAAACTAAAGATGCAAAGGCTAGGTTAGGTGACCCTCCTCTGTTGTTAAAAACAGAACTACATTAATTAGGAAACAAGATCCAGGACCCATTAACAGTATCACTATATGTATCCAGTTAAGGTTGTCTAACCTCCAAATATATTTATATAATGGTCAAAATGATCATGAATTTCCATTTTAACTTGTAACTGACATTTAGTTATCATTGTACATAACCATGAACCAGCAAATAACTCCGATCCACTGGACCGCTGAGACATTCACCAGGACCAGAGCCTCACCGAGAGACAGAGGACCCAGTCAATGCCTTGCTTTCTGCCACTGCAGTCTCATCTCCATGGTAACACAGGTCTGGGGGGGCAGGGGGGAGTGTCACCCACAGGGGACGGTGGTCGCTCTGGAAGTGATGAGGTGGGATGGTTGCAGCCGAAGACCCACCCCTCTGGCGGAAAAGGTCATTTGTGGGCGACCCTCCCCTTCCCCCACTAGGGGGCGTCGGCTAATGCTCTCATTAATGAGGGCATGTCCGTTCCTCACATTAGCTCTGCTGAGCTCATCTGGCACAGCGGGAGTCTGAAAAGACAGGAAGCAGGGACCCCCCTCCTTTGTGTGAACCCAGCCCCCCAGGCCTGACTGCACCTGCAGCTTGGGTGACACCTCCGCACAGACAGCCCCCACTAGAGAAAACCGTCACATTAGTTCTTTCCAGTGATTCAGAGCAGGTACTGAACAATAGGAGGGTCTCTGCCAGAAAGGAGCCCCCTCCAGCTGGCTGAGCTTCAGGAAAGCAAAGCGCTTCACGTTTGTGTCAGAGCACAGCCCCCCCCCCCGTCCAAAAGCCTCTCGTAAAAAGGCAGGCAGCGTGTGCAGGCTGTTCGACAGGACCCCAACGCTGCGAAGCCACAGGATGCGCAAGCAGCATTGTGACATTCCTCACCCCACGGCCTCTGAAATGAGCTGGAATCGATGCTTCTTTGAGGATTATTGAAGCAGGATGTTAAAACGCCCACAAACAAAAGTGACAAATTAGAAGCAGCAGCTATTGGCTGGGGACCTTTCCGAAGCAGCCTCTCCACGGACAGTGAGCCAGAAGGACATGAAGCGTACAGCTCCGATTTCAACCTTTATTTACGTGGTGCCATTACTTTACACCGTCTTGGATTCGTAAGTAACCCAACTGCATAAAAATGTCGATAAAACAGGTGAGCGTGGCGCTGACGGTTAGTTAAGGGTTTCCTGCCATACTGAGTGTTCCGAATACTTAGAGGTTTATGCATGGTTTAGTGTCCTAATAGCACACACATTACTGAGGCTTTTTACAGTAATTACAGGACCAAACAAACCTCCTCCAGTATAAACTCAGCACCAATAAAAGAGTAACAGAAAGGAAAATAGCATCTCATTCCTAAAAAACACAAATAAATGATGATATTTATACTTGGGTACCCTACGCTGCCTGTCTGGGATAAACGCTTGGAAGACAGATAGACGGATTGGAGACAGTCATGGCACAAACTCCAAAAAAATAAACCCACGCTGCAACCCTGTTCCACCACTAGGGGGCCCTCACACACATCAGCATGCATCTTACACACTTTTGGGTTACCCTAGTAAGCCTAGCAGAAGGCTGTGGAGGGGTCAGGTGATCCCAGGTGATCCCCTCTTCTGTCCCCACATGGGGCGACATTCCCAGAGGCAGCACCTTTGACATGTCAGTCTGTAATGGGCTAATCGTTAATATCACTGGCTGGGTCATCATGGATACAGAGCTGAGAGCATCGTTTATCATTCGATGCTGTAGTGCTGCCCGATTTACATTTTTATTTTTTTACATTATATTACAATAACTGTTTTTACAATAATACATCTGGATATCAGTTTGGCATGGGAGGGATGAATAAAAGGTAAGGTAATGGGGGGTAGGTGTCTGGGACCCAAAAATGCTGCTTCTCACATTGTGTGAGGGAAGCCAGGTGGGGAGGGTGGAGCGGGGACCAGCAGACAGACAGCAGCGGGGGACTTAATGCTATCCTGCCAATGTTATTCAGACAACTTTAAACAGGACAATGTGTTAGTGAGATCATCCGAGCTACACCAGCGGGGATACAGAGCGTGTGAGACACTTCTCTACAGCTGCATGTTCCTACCTTTTAGTCTAGAGCATTAACCGGTGAGCCACCTGCTGGCTGGCAGAAGATGGCGGCATAGCGGACAGACACCTGGAGAGAGCGGCACGGCTGGGGTCGGCTGACACAGAGGGGTGTGGGCGGTTATGGAAACGGCGGAGACTCAGAGGTGGCGCCGAGCGACGGTCAAAGCACACTGCATAGCGGGTAAAGCGACGCCCCCCAGCGAGTCGGGCGTCACCAGACAGCGGTGACAAAAAAAGCACAGCTCCTCCTCACCACCTGTGATGACGGCAGTCCAAACACTCGGGTGGAGTCAGAGCTCGACCCCACGGCCCAGGAAGGGGGGGGGGCCGAACACCAGCCGTGAAAATGGACTCTTCTGCAGCCCCGCCCCAAAGAGGGCGTGTCTGAGTGCAGTCCGGAGTCTCTCATTGGCTGCGGCACATGGGGATGAGTGTGAGGGCGTGCGTGCGGGCAGGGTGCAGGCGTACGGTGCGGGGCTTGTGCTTGTTCAGCTCTTTCTGGGCCGTGGTCACGCTCCCTCGTCGCCGAGGCCATCCGGCACCTGGGCTGCCCCGGCGCCGGTTACCAGTAGAAGGACCGGGACAGGAAGTTAGCAGCGGTGCTGAGCCAGCCCACACCATCCTGCAGGGAGCCCACGCGGGACACCGCCTTGTCCAGCCCTTTGGAGGGGCTCTCCTCCTCGGGGAGGTACTCTGGGAGGTCCGTATTCTGCTCCACCTCCTCCTCCAGGGGGTCCTCCTGGAAGGGGACCATCACCTAAACACCACGAGAGGCCGCAGCTCAGGACAGCTGCTGAGGTTCAGCCATTTTTCTCTGACGTTTTTTTGGCGGTTTCAGGTGTGGGGGCACCAATGCTAAAACGGTCTGTAAATCTGCAGCGGCCACACTCACCTCATCGCCGTCGTCATCTTTCACCACCTGCTTGGCTTTCATCAACTTTGTGGATGCGATGGCGACGCCCAGCGCCTGCAGATGCCAGACACACCCGAATGAGTCTCCTCCTTCCTCCGCAGACCCCCCTCCCCCTCCGGACTCACCTCGGCCTTCAGGTCGGAGCGTATCCTGACGACACATCGCTTGACGGCCATCTGGAAAGTGAAGCTGATGACGCCGCGGATCTTCAGTAGGGCTTCCTCACACATGCTCCTCCGGCTCTATGAAAGATGGCAGTCAGTCAAGATGGAGGCGTGGCTGCAACAGCACCCCCCTCCAGTGCCACATCACATGTGAGGGATTCCATCGGTGGATGCTTAAGGTCGCTTGCATCGCAAGCACAGTCATTTAATTACATTTATTTTAAAAAAAGTAATTAAATAGATGTAGCTAGGGGTCTGAACTCCACGTGGAGAGCAGCAGCCACCTACGGAGTCGTCCAGGCCGTCGATCTGCAGGACCACGGTCTTGGCACGCTTGTTGTTGGTACCCAGGAAGAAGTGGGCCTTGCGGCGACAGGAGGCTCCGCTCTCGGCCCGCTCGGCCTCAGCGTCGCCGTACGCCTGCAGGATCTCGTAGATCTCAGAGGCCAGCAGCTTGGTCTCGCCGGGCGTGGTGGTCCTGAGGAAGAGGAGGCCACCAGCATTATTTACAGAGGGAGCATGAGGGACACAGCGTGGATGGTCATCCATCACGAGCCTCAGAGCACTGACATCACATTTACTGGGGTTAAGGGTCTTGCTCAAGGGTCTAGTGATTACATTACTCTTCCAACCCTGGGATTTGAACCCGGGACCTTCTGATCATAGGTACAGTGTCCTAACCCACTGAGCCATACACCATTATGGGGGGGGGGGGGTGTGTGGGGGTGTGAGAGAATGGAGGACTGCGTCATAACAAAACCATCTGCTGAACCATGTCCAAACCCAAAGTGAAGGAAACTCGCCCCCATGCTGCCTATGAGGATCGTGTTAAGGAAGGGTGCACACCTCATGTATGACATGCTCTGGGTCAGTGTTTGCCAGTCCGGACCCACAGACAGTTCATGTTTTTGCTCCCACCCAGTTCTACCGGAAGACCGTCTGGCATGGAGCTCGGATGGAGCAAAAATGTGGACCAACTGTGGGTTGCCAAGGACCGGATTGGGAAACACAGCTCTAGCTAATAACACAGGCGGTACACTGCACTGAGTCTGGCCCCTCCCTCTCTGTGAGGGGTATGATCAGCTGGGTAAAGCCCCATTCCTTCAGTGAGGCACTATTCATACCATAGTAATGCATAACGACCATGTAACTCAAAGCTGAGACACTGCGGACTCAAATTACAATGAAAAATAAACTCACCGTTCGTTACAAGACAAAATAAAGGAGCAAATAAACAAAAACGCTGAATAATCTCGGCCCCTGTTTACTTTTGCTGTCAGACACACATGCGCAGCCTGCGCAGGCAGGGTCAGCCCTTACTCACTTCTGCATGACGTTTTGTAGGCTCAGCATCATTCCCAGCTCGCCCTTCATTTTCTCCCTGTTGGCTCGGCATTCTGCCAGGTAGCGCACCGCCTGCGAAGGGCAGTGGTCACATGGTCACACAGGCTCCACCCATACTGCTGCATCTGATCTGACCCCGCCCCCAGTAACAAAACCATCAGACTGCGGGACAAGGAGCATCCCAGTGATCTATGTGTGCGTGCTGTGCACACGAGACAGAGAGCGAGAGAGAGACACACACACACAAACACATTACATCTAAAACAGTCCACCCATTAAAAATTCATTTTCCAATCACAGCCTGCCAGAGGCACCGAGGCGGGGTTAGATGCCACCCGCCTGGGGTGTGTAAATCACGTGGTCTGAAACACACAGACATGCAACACACACAGCCTACTGCACACTCAGGGACTCCAGCCCGGCTTTGCAGATGTCAGGCGACCCCTGCTGACGCAGCATTAAACTTCTGCTGGAAACAGGGGCAACTCCTTGGGAAGTAAACACAGTGAACTGCGTCTAGCCAGCACGGTGCACAGAAAGAAAAACTGTTCCAAACGGGTGAGCTGCTTCACAAGGGAACACCAAATTTACAAACTATGCGTCTTTGAAACGTTGTTTTTTTGGGGTTACATGAAAATGAACACAAGATTCCTGTAAGATATTTTCAAGGCAGAGTGACCGCATCTTGTACAGATACTTCAATTCTCACTAAACAAAACTTGGCCATGTCACTTTTAGCAGAAAGCAAAGCAAGTGCAAGTGATAATTCACACAATCATTAAGTGCAATTGTCTCAATCAGTCACAGTATACAGATCCAACCATCTGTAAAAACTTTGCAACAGCACAGTCATTATTTAAACCCCTCATACTGATACAGCCAAAAACACTATGCTTATATTTTAGATTTATTTATTTTAATACACGCTTTTATAAAAAATCTATGTACAACTGAGAAAGCAGGGTCCGCTGGTCCCTGGAGAAGCTGTGGTTAAGGGCCTTGCCCAAGGGCCCAGCGGTGACACTCTGCCAACCCTGGGACTTGAACCGGAGACCTTCCAATCACAGACACACCTTAACCTCCTGAGCCACACATCACAACATACATTTCCATTTGGACAACAACATATGCTAAATATGTATAAAGTGACATACAAGTGAGGTAAACAGCACAATACAATCAAACACCGTCTTGGAGCACAGCCATTCATAAGGAGGGTATAACAGAAGGAAATCGAGGGAAGAGAAGAGCCGCATGGCGCAGGGACTCACCAGCAGGGCAGAGTAGACGACCTGCGGATTGGGATGGTCCAGGAAGAGAATGAGACCCGGCAGGCAGCCCTGATCCTGGACGATGGCCCTCCTGTTAAGGGGGTCTGCGGCGAGGTCCCGCAGCTGGTTAACCACGGTCAGGGCATCCGGCTCCCCGCTCATGGTGCGCCACGGACACCCACGCCCCGGGCTGAAGGCATGGCACACAGGCTGAGTGCAGGGGCCACCAACATCCTGTTAGTTGCCAATATTTCTACCCTGCAGTGATGGTATATGTCTATTATGTCCCACCGAAGCAAAGACTGCGGCTTCACACACCAAGCCTTCAGCTTCAGCGTTTACAGACCCCATGCCGCAGATACTGACACTCAGGTTTGCTTAAAATAAATAAATAAATACAATATTGAGTATGATCACCGGACTGACACTTCTGTGCCCGGAGATGGTCACCGGTTAACTCTCAGCTAAGAAACTGGATGACCTTTGCGGGTAATTTACAGCATGGAGGCATGAGTGAGGGGGTCCGGCGTCAGACGCCAGGACCTGTCAGCTGCCTGTCCCACTGTCTCTGCAGCAGACCAAGATGTCCAAGGGCAGGAAGCAATGAAGACGTGGACCGTCATGTGGACTCTGTTCCACCATGTGGTGTGTTGAACCACATACTCGGACACTTTGTAAATGACCAACCCCCACACACAGTCATACAGTGAGGAACCCAAACACATGGACTCGGACCGAGACCGATCACAATAAACGCTTTCCGGCCTCGGCTTCTCATTTTCTACCGGTCAACACCGTCCTTGAAAAACGACAGCTCCTACCAAAGTGACAGCAACTCCGACCAGTTTCGATAGATGACTAACGGGCAAACCGACCGGTGAAACAGGGCCTGCTGACCGCCCTGTGCCGCTGGCCTCATAACCTCTGCTAAGACCCAGGACTGCGACCTACCTCACGCCACACTTCGTTCTTCCGACGAGCTCTGCACACAGCGACCTGGTCGGCTCACGTCCAAGCGGCTGTGGGTGTGGAGCAGTCCGCCACACTGACGAGACCACCCGTACGTAATTTAACTGGCAGGACTCAGACTGTCACTATTTGGCTATGTGGCTATCCAGCTAACTGTCCCCCCGTCCCCATTACGGCCGCGTATCCTTTGACCGGCGTTGCTGATTGGCTGATATAACAGGACACCGCATTCATAAACAGCCATTCAGGCGGGGTTTTATTGACGAGCACGAGCAATGACGTAATGACCTTTAGCGCACCCGAGCGTTCGCAAACAAACATTGCAGCACGCTGGTTTTGCTTTTTGTGGGTAATTTAAGTAATGTCGATTTTTGCTTGTGTGCATTGCAAAGTAAAACTCATTTGCTAACGTGGGTAATTGAATAAACCCAGAATGGTACAAGGTATACCTGTTATATGCCGGAATGTAATATGACAAGTTTTTAAGTTTCTTGCCGCACTACCTAACAGAATCAATTAGCAGCTAATTTTGCTTCTAGGGATACAATTTAATTATGTAACTATTAATTTAAAGTATATTATGGAGCCTTTACATAGTGTTTTCAGCGAAAACGGCACCAAGAAGATTAAAGTATTTCTTTGGTGCACTGGAGATCAAATCTCTACGTCAGGGTCACTTCAGTGAGATGTAAATCTTGTAGTCATATTTGTATCTGCTAATTAACGTTAATCTTTCATTTGAACTAAGTATCGCATAATTTCGATGTCTGACAACACAACCTGCATTACACCACCCTTTCCTGTTCGTGAGCTGGACTGAAACCGGATTGAAACTAAACTTCATTTAGGGGCGTATATGCTAGCTATTCGTCGATTGGTTCGTGAGTCTGCTCTGGAGACAAACATCAGTAAATGGCTTCGCCATCCAACACGCCACCTGGCGACTTCTTATTGTCATCTTGCTCTTGAGACTCCCACGGGTCACAGACAGCAGGGTGCCCGACAAGAGTCGATACGTGCTGTGACTCTTGAACTCTATTGGATGATAGCGGTGTCGTGCATACGCCGTCGGCCGGTGTCTCAGTGGTGATTGGTCTACAATTTTACCAGGCAAATTGTCATTGGTCAATGACAATGTCAATCAATACGCCTTGTACCGTAGCCGAATGCGCTTTACTCCGCGAACTTGGGATTTACTTCGCCGACAATTGAGTCCTGTAAGTTGCCTAAAGTTACACGAAACTATTTTATGTCGCTAGGAACATATATATTTAAATCAGAGCTTTACAACCATACTTACGAAGCTCGTCGCTAGTGGTTACTTGTAGTGTACCGCAAATCGTTTTCAGAATAGTTAATTAAGAAACGTCAGCCGGTTAGGTAATCGGCTATTTTACACGGTTTATACGCGTTTTATACATTCTTTGGCACTTTTACACAATTCCGCGGTGACCGCCTTCACTACAGTATGTGTTCGTGCTGCTAGTCCGCGGTGACCAGCGAAACAATGATGACTTTTTAATCAAAGCTAATTAAATGTTGTACCCGGTGAGTTCATCTCGTTTGTTGTCAGTTGACACAAATGAAGTGTCCGAGTCACCGAGCCGTCTGACTTTAACCGGAAACGAGTGGCTGTTCCCGCCATTACAGAATGGGACCGATTTTTGCAGGAGCCCGAGGGTTCGGACTTGGGACCGTGCCTGATGTTATTCTAGGGCATTGTATTCTGCCCAACACTGCTCCCCTGTAATTAAAAAGGTGCCTGCTCCAAAGCTGGCAGTCGATCCATAAATGGACCCTATTTATGATGGACATTCTGGCAGGCTGTGCAGCCCATGTTCCCCTCCCCGGTGTCGATGGATGCTGGTTCCGGTACCATACCGATGAGCCAGTAGATTCTGCAGTGAACAGGTTGACTCAGATTATCCTTTCGGCTCTTTGTCCTGCCCCCGCAGGTAGTGAGGGCAGCAAGGCCTGCGCCAGCACTGCGGAGCAGGGCTGCTGGAGGTTGACCATGTGTCTGGGTGGGTCTCCATGGAGCCGTCCAACTCGCAGGCATTGCTAGAGTGAACAGCATCTGAACAGCAGTTGAGATGGACCTAGTAAGTAATTATGCACTGCTAATCAATGTAATGCCCCAGTTAGATCATTAAATGATGCAGATTACTGGTTATAGAACAGATTTTTATTTAAACTAGTATTGGTATGAGAGATGTGTGTGGCTCAGTGGGTAAGGATGCTGTGCTTGTGATCAGAAGGGCGCTGGTTCAAATCCCATGGTTAGAGTGATTTCATCATTGGGCCCCTGAGCACCAATTGCTCAAGCTTCTGTCTGAGCCTGATTTCTCAAATGTACGTCATTTTGGATAAAAGCTCTGTCTGCTCTTACTGTTCGCTCACATTGTAGCACAAGGCTAACATAAAGGTTTGTTGTTACTTTTTCCCAAGCTATAGCTCTCCCCTGACCAGTGCCTCCCCTAAATTAGTGCCTTGCTGTGCAGTCAAGCTGGCATGCTTTACACTCTTGAGTCCAGATCCCATGCCATACAGGGTATACCCCATCCTTGTGTCCTGTGCTGCCTGGGATAGACTCCAGGCTGGCCTTCTACCCTGTCCAGGATAAGTGGATAGAAGATGGATGAATGTTCGGATCCTTAGCGGTTATGCTGTCCCTGAGAATCTGCCTTAGACCCTAATCTTGTGTAAGGGTGTAAACCTGAGTGTACCTTGGTGAGATCTGGAGTCTTATTTGATGTCTTTGAGGTCTTTGGGTCAGTGAGGCCGTACGGGTCCGCTCGGAGCATCGTAAGAAGAATTGGAACACGCCTTCCTCTGGCCCCGTGCCCCCGAGTCCGATTTCAGGTAGGACACACTGTTGAGGGGTTCCCCCGTAAGCACTGTGTGGGATTTTCGCAGGACTGATCCATGAGGCCTTCCTGGGCCTGGCCTTTGGCCTGTAGCTCCTCCTGCTGTCTTCCTGGTGGCTGCGGTGATTATAAATGTTTCTACCAGCTTATCCCCTGCGAACCTCCTTCTTCCTCTGGCCACTGGCCCAGTTATAACGACTGTAAGGAAAGATTTCTGTGTTCCGCCTGTTCTGCCTGCCAGCATGCCGTGTAGCGTGTCACATGAAATGACACGGTGGCACTGTGTTTGCTGTGAAGCTGCTCGGGTGACATACTGGCAGGTGACCAGCACGCTCTTTTCAAAATGTGCTCCCTTTAACGTCTCTCTCTCACCTCGAGAGCCTAGGGTCCTCGTCTATCTGCCTCCTCCCCTTTGCCTTCCCGCCATCCTTTACCGGGACCCACGATTGGCCGCTCTAGGTCAGTCCCCTCTTTGATGTGTCATGGATGTGGCTGCGTGTTGACATAGGACTGACACCCCCCCTCACCTTCCACTAACCTCGTTTTGTGTGTAAGACACTTGGTTCATTTTAATACTGATAAATGTTCATTGAGTGTATTCGTCTCATTCCTGACGTGTGAATGCTGATTTATAGAGAAACTTTATTAACTTAGTTAAATGGTTTAAAACTTTAGTTTAACTTAATTGCTCCTAATTTATTAATTCCAAAAATGCCTTTGTTTAATGAGGCATTTATTAGGTATGTGATTAAAAATGCTGAGTTAGAAGCCATAAAAATTGGAGTTTTTTGGGAAAGAAAAGAGCCAGAACTCGCAGCCAGTCAGAGCGAAACCTGGTGCTCAGTTGCGGTGCCACGAAGTTTGGATTTGACTGTTTTTCTTGCTTGCTGTTCATTCTGATGTCCTTCCTGCCGTTTTAAAGCAGCATTATTTTTTGTACTCCCGGTTGTACAAGAGCTTATCAGCCTTTTCCCTTCCTGTACTGTGCTTGCGTGGTTCTCCATTCCTCCCGCGACCAGATGTCGTGGCTCAGTGTGTCTGCGGAGCATGACAGCGTTAAACCCGACGGGGCAGCAGTTTCAGGGCAGCTAGTGTCAGAATCCAGGCCCCCTCTAGTGAAACCGCTGGATTCAGAGTGGCCAGCTGGCTGCTGCGACACTGAACCCAGACGCGACTCTGGCATGCCAGTCTCCAGAGGCCACGTTCCGAGCCGCCATAAATGTCAGTAATGGAATGGGACGCTAAATAGTTCTGACCTTAATGTCACAGGGCTGCTTTTTCAGGATTTGTCATTTGCTGGGTAATGGCCTGCACCCGTAGCTACCTCTGAGGCCGCCTGTTTACACCCCTGCCTCCACCTTCCAGCTGCAGCCTTTCATGGAAGGTGCCCGGGCGCTGGGCAGCTCACGTCGGCGCAGTGAGCTCATCGCATCTCTGGCCGACGTTGCCTCGATAGACGGAGAGGACGATGCCTCGACAGGCCTCAGGTAGGTGCTGTTCCCTCTGCTCCTTCCCCTGTTACCTGTGTGTTGCTAGCGGTCTTCATGGCTCTTCTCTGCAGGCCCGGATCTCGCCCGGGATTCATAGTTTGCTCCCACCAGCGGCAGCCCCGAAGGAGGTCCTCCAGGAAACGGAGGTCGCTGCATGTAGAGGAGACGGACCACAGGGAGCCGTCGCCTGGCAGCAGGGAGACCATCCAGAAGATCAGCGCCCTGGAGAATGAGCTGGCCAAACTCAGGGAACAGATCGCTCAGATCGTCCTGGCCCAGGAGCAGAGCGCCCAGGCTGGTAGGTCACATGCTCACAAATGTCTGGGGAGAACCACACAAGTCCCAGCACGCTACCCAGAGGGTCAGCTGGCTACCTGTCGGTAGTGATTAGCTGGGTTCGCTAGGGTATGGCAGTGTTGAACCCAAAGCCTAGTTTGTAATGTTGGTGGGGAAATCCGGAGCTCGTTCTGCAGGGTAAAGGATCCATACTTGTCCGTTAGCGAGATTCTCTGGTTTTTCTTTCCTTACAAACCTGAAGTTGAACATTGAACTCCACAAATCTCATCACCTGAAGTATTTGTCTGGGACTGAAGTGCTCTGAGGTGTCACTCACATGTCTGTACCCCCACCCTCCTCACTTTAGTACCAACACCCACTGGACCTGGACCTGGACCTGGACCTCCCCCTCCCCCTCCCCCTCCACCACCTCTGCCCAGCCTGCAGCCAAACTCTTCAGCCATTGACCTCATCAGAGAGCGCCGTGGTAAGAATGCGGCTGTGGGGCCACAGCCGGAGCCCCGGGGGCCTCCAGAGATGCCCAGCATGCTGGAAGTACTGAAGGACATGGGGAAGGTGAAGCTGCGTGCAGTGAGGTAGGAAGTGCACCCAGGGTCCTCTGTTTGGGCACTGTCAGATCCTTCCGGAAGAACAGCTCACCCCGAGCCCTCTTGCAGGCTCGAGCAGTCTCAGTATCACGCTGACCTGCTATCTGCTGTGCTCTAGGCGCCCAGAGGGGGGCGACACCAAACCCAGTGACCCCACTGATCCCGCTGCTCTCATTGCGGATGCCCTCAGACGCAAATTTGCATATCGCTATGGGAACGAGAGCCGGGCCGAGGGGGACGGCCAGTCTGTGGGCCACAACACTAAAGCTGACCGTGGTGAGACCCCCATGGTAAGTACGAAGCCCTGCTGGGACCCGCCAGTCCGCGTCCACTGCCTGTTCGTATCGCTCACAGTGGGTGTCGCTTCTTCCCCAGTTCGGACAGCACATGCTCAAGTCGACTCCCCAGAGGAATCTCCTATAGGCCAGATGAGGCAGGGCTGCGCCTCCGGTCGTCACGATGTCCCGCGGTGAACGTGTGACCTGCTAAACCATGGAGCCCTCACAACATTGACCATTCGGTAGTTTGCTGTCATTTTAAGGCCATTCCTTCCTATTTCCCTTGAATTGCACCCCTTTAACACATTTATCACATTAAACCATCCAGCCGAGATTGGGAGTGTTTCCCCTGAGCCCCTACAGCCATAAGCTCACACCAAAGAACAGTCTTACCTAAACGCTCAGCTGGATGGTTTAATGTGACCATTTTCTCTAAAGCCCCCTCTGGTGGTGCTTAGAGGAAATGCTGGGGAGTGTCATCTGTTACAATAGGACAGTGGGATATATATGCAAAATATTGTTTGAATAGTTATTATACTTAATTATTTATTATTAGCTGCTCACGGATACATTTTATGTGCCATTTTGATTTTAGTTTTTAGCCTGATGGAATCTGAATGTCTGCTTATATTGATTGAACACGAATAACTGATCATATTGGTGAGTGGGACGTAGTGTCACGTGCGTCATCTGTATGAGGTGCCGCCGTGTTTAGTGACAGGAAACGCCACTGGCCTGGTCACACCGCATCTCCCTGCATCTCATTCAGTACTTTGAGCTGCTATCCTTAAGTGACATGAAGTCCAAACTTCATTTGAATCTTAAAGAACCTATTTCAGTTCTTTTTTGTAAGTTTAAACTTTTCCTCGAATTGCTTTTACTTGTTTAGTAATTTTCCAGGGATTAGTTTAAGGTTCATTTGAACTGGTCCTTCATTACTGGTACAGATAAACTGGACCGCTGTGTGACTTGTGATAAGGAGACATTGATTCAAATGTAATGGAAGAAAACTGGATAATCGTGTTTAGTAAAGTTGTATATTACGGTAATGTCTTTTGGTTTATTTAAGTATTTAACTTCAGAATTACCGTATAAAAAAGTGATTTCGCCTGCTACTGACACATGGTACTGCAGTCATACGAAGTGGTACAGAGATATTGGCAAAAGCAGATGGACCCTTTTGACTTTACGTGTGTAAGATTTTATAATGATACCCCTCTGGAGCAGCTGTTTACACCACATTAACTATGGGATTAGTTTAATTTGTTTTATTAATCAAAATGGGACTGCAACAGGCATGTATCAAAAGGTCAATACAGTAAAGTTTTTCAAAACAGCTTGATGCTGAAGTCTCCCTCCCCCCCCCCCCCGAATGGCTGTAACAACAAATTGTAAACAGTTTCATCAAAACAGTCTTACAGCACTTAAGAGGGGAAAAAAAATACAAATTAGCTGAAATGAAATAAAGCACCAGTTATGTGAAAGACCAAGTAGAGACCCAGAACGCCGCATTACTGTACAGAACCAACGGTACCGGATGGCCATATGGAATGTTTGCTGCTCCACAACGAAGGCTCACGAGAAGACGGTTAAGAGTCGAGATGCACGTCGTGAAGTTAGGCGCTAGTTTGGTCACTTAGCTTTGTGCATAGTTAGGGCGGTCGTGGCTGTGCCATGGCGTCACCGTGTCATCGCACACATTCGCGGTGAGCTTCTGGTGCCTTCGGTCACCGGCTCCAAAAGCAGCCCAGGTCAAAGGTCACATCCACAAGCAAACGTCCCTGAGAAACGCCTGTTTTCAGCTAGTGGGGGTCCCATACGCGTTCTCCCATAACCTCACCCCCCGGGCTCTGTCATCATGGCGCTTCGTCACAGAGACGCTGTCCCACTGGCTGTCGTGTCGGAGCTGCGATCTGCGGTTTGTTCCATCTCCGTGGGTCAGAGTTCCCTAGTGGTTCTGTGGGCTTGTGCATAAAGGCATGATCCCTTTTTATCACGTTTCTCTCGCACGCACACATACACACACACACACACACTGTAAACAGTCAGAGGCAGCAGAAAGATTGGGCCCTTTGTTTAAAAAGCATCAGCAGATTCCTTCAAACCTCTGTGAGCCTTTTCTCTGAATACTTTTCAAAACCACCTCCAAAAGCAATTAAAAATAAAATGGCACTTTCGCTACAGAAATTTCCTCTCGGTCTCCATTAAATTTCAGCGTGTGAGATTAGTCAGGCCAGAACAGCATGAAGGAACAAAACCAAATAAATAAATAAAACAAGCTGACTGAGGGCACAGCGGAAGTGAGATGAGGTATCTATGTATTGCTCTATGTTCAGAAAATAATGGGTTAATTTTTTTTCCTCAAATCAGTGGTTTGTCAGGGTGGGAGATGTGCAACTCAAACAGGGGGGGCCACGGGCTGTCTGCAGCAAGAACAGTATAATCCCTCACCCCCTCTCCCTCTGCTCTGGGGGGGGTCATGACCTTTGACTTCCCTGAGGTAATGCTGTGGAGTCGGGCTCTTCGGCGGACGCCTCGGTACCCTCATCCAGGCCCCCCCCCAGCTCCTGGAGCGCACCGCTCCAGCCGGCCTTGTTCAGGGCCAGGTATCCCAGCATGGTCCGGGAGAGGCGCGTGTCAGAGAAGCGGGCCCACTCAGCGAACAGCGGCTCCACCACGTACGTCATGAAGCCTGTAAGGGCAGGATACCCCCCCGTCAGTTAGCCTGAGAACGAGTCCCAAAGTGGAACTGGAGGAGGAAGGTAGTGCTTTTACAGTTTGCAAATGTTTCATGCTGATCACAGGGAGGCTGTTTCACGCGCTTAGGGTCCGGCAGGACTGGACCAGCTTACCCGTCTGAATACTGCCGACGGTGTTGGTCTGGCTGTCGCACAGGGGGCTGACTTCCAGGCTGTGTCTCTTTTCAATCTCACCTATTACCCAACGAGAAGAGGTTCAGCAGGGAGAGTCACATGGTGTTTCTCGTGAAGGCAGTTCTCACTGGAGTTGTTCTCTCATAAAAGCTGCAGTACTACGTCACTCCCATTTTATCAGGGTTTTTTTCCAATGACCAAATTTTAATCAAAAGTTAGTTATGAGGTACAGCAGTAAACTGGGTTTTATACCACTTCAGTAAAGAAGATTTTATGTGCCCATTCTTTGCCCTATTTCATGTTTAATGTTAATTTTTGGACAGCCTACACTACCAGTCAAACGTTTTTCTACATTTCCACGTTACTCAAAACTAAAAATACACTCAATATTCTTTGCTAACAAAGCATGTTCGTCATTTGAGCACCTTTATTAGAAAGAAAATGTATCTGACTCAAAGTAACCTCCTCTAGCAGTTATAACGGTAGAGAAAATTCCAGGCATTCGTTCTACAAGGGACATTAAATACTGCCCTGTTTCATGGGATTTTAAAGTTAAAGGACAGCCTAGAATTTGACTATGCCATCACCACACAACCAGTGAAGAGGATGTTAGACAGACACTGTTACATACTCTTTCCATGTTATGAAGCAAAATTGTTTTGACATTTTCCAATGCTTAACAAGAATAAAAATCTGCAGTTTATGAAAGTTGGAAATGGTAAAAGGTGTGAAAAAACGTTTGACAGGAAGTGTAATAACATTCAAGTTTCAAAAAGAAAAATGTAGAAAATCAAGCCAGAGGCGAAACACCTTTTCACACATCTATACTTAGTAGTGGCCGGCTGGAGATTCGATCAGAGAGGTAACAGACATACCTTGATGGAAGAACTCCTCAGTCACCTTCTCGCTCCACTGTTTGCTCAGTTCCCACGGTCTGCAGGGGTTGCAGATGTCGGCACACTTGAGAGCCATCTGCAGGTCAGCAGGAGAAACACAACTCAGTGGTGGAAGCGGCCGATCAGAAATACCACACGGCATGTTCCGGAGAGCGGCGTCTGTCAACGCTGAACTCGCCTGCAGGACAAAGTGCCGGTGGCTGGAGTTAGCCATGCACAGGTCGTCCTTCTCCAAGTGCTCCCTGAACTTCGTTAGGTACTCATTCTGTCTGCTGATATCTGTGGCCAGGATCAGGGATCCCAGCTGTTTCTCCATGTTCAGTCTGAAACACACAACCTCAATGGAATGCTGCTTCACCAGCACTGATCGCGTAACATCCACGCATGAAAAAGCAGTGACCACGTGTGGCACAGTACCGACCCATCTTCAGCAGGCAGGTGTGAAAACAGCCCAGACTCGCGGAGTAGGCCGACTGCAGACCTCCAGTGATGATTCTCCAGAACTGAGGTATTCTACAAATGGTGAAGGAACCAGACAGTTCTGTTCAGTCCTCAGTCATGCGACAAGTGCAGACTTTACCTCTACTTCTGGAGTTCTGCTGATGCAAATGATAATCAAGCCCCAGGACTGCTGACCCTGAGACATTTAATTGTGACGCGTCATGTTAAATACCCTGTATGGCTTTTAGGACTGATTGGTGTGATGTCACTTTTAGGACTTCAAAGAGGAGTTGGTACCAGCATTGTGTAGCTGCCAGCTGACGCAGAGAACACACCTTGTATAATGCGGCTAAGTGGTGGTTGGTTTTGATGAGGAAAGGCTGGTTGACTCCTGGATGGTCCAGGTCGTGAGTGGCAGCTGCCAGGAGACCCAGCAAGATGTCACAGGCAGAGAGGGACGTTGAGAGCTATACAGACAACATCAGAGTTCCTCTTAACACGCACCAGCAAAATCAGACAGTCAACCACCAACGTCAGAAGGTAACAGTTACAGAAACTCGTTATTGGAGTTTTCTTGGGTTTTCCGGGAAGAGAAGACATTTCATCGCTTTCCACTGACACAAAGAAGAATGCCCCGCCCACGAGTCTCACCTTGGGCTCCTGCAGGTAACAGTACATAGCCTGGGTTACGTCAGCAGCATGAAGAGCATTGTGGTAGGGGTTCTGGCTGTGGTAGTCCTCCTGAACCATAACTGTCAAGACACACATGTAAGTTTCCTCCAGCACCACCAAACAAATATGTTCTTCAGACTGGCCATGCATGAGCTGCTTTGCATGACTGCATCTACCACCCAGGCAATAACAGTCACACAAATGCACAAATATACAACTCAATTTTTCAGATTCCTACTCAAATTCTAGGTCTGCGTATACACAGATAAAATACTTCATCAACAATAATCAAATCAGACGGGAAGAAATTACCTAAAAATCTACGAAGTTTTACCATGTCTAATTGGAAGAGCTCAATTAGTCCATAATGATGAAATAAATGAAATGTCAGGGTGACGAGGCTGTTTCCTGAAACAAAGTGGGGGGGGGACAGCAAGAGAAATGAGATACAATGTTGCCATTTTGGAGACAGTACACAGAATTCCTGCTGCTTCAATTGGTCAACACTAATATCAAAGCCTTGGCTTTTTTTTTTTAATCTGAAGGGACTGTTATTTTGTTTGGAGTTCTGAAACTCTAGACTGCCTTACAAAGATCAGCTTCAAAAGCTGTTTTCTAATCTAAACAGCTGAACAGACTGATAAAAACAGCCAGCAGAGGGCAATATTGACTTTTCATTGAATTTTCAAAAGCAAAGATTTGTGCAAAGGTGTGTTACACAAGTACTGTCCTAGACTTCGGAGTCTAAAGTTAGGCTTGTGTCATTTTTCCAGCACAGATTTAGACACGACTCTCATCCAGACACACACAAACACACCAGCACACACCCACACCCCCTTTCAGTCAACGTGATTAACAAAATTCCCAGCATTACAACCAAGCGACTGAATTATGAAGTACATATTCATCACACGACTCACATTACTGACAAAACAGGTTGCTCATGTCACGTGATAAAAATGGCTTGTATTGTATTCTGCATATACAATCAAACTACATTTTCTCACAATTAATGCAAGGAATTGTGGTGCAAAGCTGAAATTCAGGACCACTAAATGGTATCAGTGAAAGATATGGGGATAAATGAATGTAATTTGTATGAATTATTGAAAACAGCATTTGTACACTGCTGAACTAGAGAGAGAAGCTGTATAAACTTACCATTTGTTAATCTGTCAAAGAGGAAAATGTCGAAATTCCAGCTCCCAGTTCTCTGTAGCATACACTGTAAGAATTTTGTCGATCAGCCAAAAGCAAACCAAAGCAAACTGTCAGACAGATAATTCCAAGAACAGGCCTGAGGTTCAGCAGGAGACACCATCTCTCACTGGCTTTTGGGCCGGCGGTCTGTGGCTGACCTTTGCTTGGCCCACGTAGTCATCGTCAAGGATGTGAGGGGGGGCGCTGCCACAGCGGAGGCGGCGGGAGGAGTGCAGGTACCGCTGGAAGCTGAGCAGCCGCCGGACACTGTAGGCAGAAGCAGGAGCGGCGGGATCGTGCCGGGCTGTGGAGACGGCCACCAGGGGGCAGTCAGAGTGCATCCAGACGGCGTGACTCATATGGATGCACATGTTAATTAATTAATAAGAGACATTCTAATAAGGGTGGGGGATACTAGTGATGGGCAAATGAAGCTTTTTTTTTGATCCACTGGATGTTGCTCTTTGATTGCTTTGGGGCATGCATTGAGCCCTTTTATGAACAGAGAGCACCATCTAGTGGGAGTCAGAAAATATAACAAATGGTTCATGAAGCTTCATTTGCCCATAACTAGGGGATGCTAGCTCCTCAACTACAACAGCATTAAGCTTTATTTTTCCTGCCCTACTCAGTATTGTTTTTATGACAACGATACACAGCCGTTTTCCATTTCAACACCACCAGATGACTGTAAATTGAGGATAAAATGCTATATCGCACCAGAAATGTCTGTAAATAATGATAATTATTCACATCCTTTCTGCTTTTCTAAATTTAATACCCACAAAAGATGAATCAGATTGAGAGGCCAGACCCTCCAGCCTTGTGTACAGTCTATCAGAAATGTGACATATAGTCACCCTACCCCTTTGTCAAGGGGCCACAAGCTGGTGAGTGAATGTCCACGAGGTTCCTTAAAACTACCAGTGCTAATTACTGGTGATGGGCAAATGAAGCTTTATGAACCATTTGCTGTATTTTCAGTAGACGGTGCTCTCTGTTCAAAGCACGCCCCCATACCAAAACCAGAGCACCATCTAGTGGAGTCAAAAAATACAGCAAATGGTTCATGAAGCTTCATTTGCCCATCACTAATAACTACTCCTCAGTGTGCTTCTCTGCTGCAGTATTAGTATCAGACATGTGCTCTGTCCAGGGAACAGGCATGCAGTTTGTTAGAAAGACCACAGTTTTAACAGCACATGACGAGCTGGATGTGGCTACAGGAGCTCAACATACTTACAGTGCAAAATTCGGAAATCAACACACAGGTACGGGTGAGAGCCCCTTCGCTCAGGTTCGAGGCTGATGCAGCTCCTCACTCTCACATCTCCTAGAGGGCACCAACAACAAGGTCCTCAAAAGAACAGCGACAAAGAGCGCTTTGTTTTAGGGCAACGCAAGCCGGGCGATGGCGGACAGTGCAGAGCTTTAGTGAGCCAGTAGGGGGGCAGAGTGGGGTGAAGCCAGGGGTCACACTCGCACAGTGACACAGTGAAGCATTCATACAGTGCCAATGACACAGTGCAGTGCACTCAGGACACAGCTGGTTAATAGCCAATCTGGACGGTGCGATACCAGAGAGTGACACTTAATAAAGTCAGTAAGCATCAGAAAGTCACACAGGTTCCTCCTGGAATATTACTTACTTGTAAACAGCTGTCTGAATATTACACAAGCCCCTATCAAAATACCAAAACTGCGAATTACAAGTCGGCCGAACTGTTTGATTAACGTCATATAACAGAACAGAAGTGTGTCATTAAAGAAGTCAGATGGAGACAGATCAGTTATTGCAGAGCTGAGCGTGCAAGCAATGCACAGAGGTTGCAAACAGACCCCCCCCCCCATTAATCTTGGTAATAGAGTTCCTAAGGTGCCAATGCAGTTCTGACCAGGTGGGTCAACCTGCCCACTATGAGTGTGCTCATGTCACCAGTCACCACCGCTGTCACACTGGAAATGTCTGACCATTTTTCGTAACCGTAATTTCACGACAACACCGTACAGCCACAGGAGACACTGTGCCGTTTGTCACCATGCCGTCGACACTGTGAGTCAGTGTCACTGAACGACACGGCCAGTCCTGTCACGGCTGCTAAGCAACAGTGTGTGTGTGTGTGTGTGTGCGTGCGTGAAAGTGTACGAGTGCATGTGAGAGTGTTTCTGTGTGTCTGTCATGAGGACAGACTGTTAAAAGTTAGAGACGTCTCCACACTGCCTGTATCACTGTACACTTTACAGCAAGGAAGAGGAAATAAAACGCAATTTGATTTCCCTCCACGTTTGACGGGTCTGTTTTTTAAATATGGCGGCATCTCAGCCATTAAGGACAATAACAATCCCCCTCCCTCCTGTACCAGTACACCATTTCTCACAATGTTAACAACCCACCAGCTGCACCATATTCCTTTTTATTTGCAGTTTAAATAACTCTGATCTTTTAGAAATGTACTAACTCCACATTCATCATTAGCTGCAGAGCAAACTGATTACTAAGCATGATAAAATTTCACTGTGGATTCTTGGATAATGAGACTATTCAAAATAAGGCACTAAATGTTACTTGTGCTAAACTGAGAGCTACCAGGTAGCTCCTCTCCACCAGAGGGAATCGCAAAACCGCATGGGCCCTGTGCCGCCTCTTTAAGTGCTGAAAGTATTCCTGCATCAAACTAGTACTTAAAGTCATAAGAGCAGTAAGTCACCCTTAAAACTCTGACTAATATTACTTATGTCTCCGTTATACCAAATACTGGCGAAATAATGACTGGCGGATCTAGTTTAGTGATTATACAACATGTAATTACAGGTTTAAAAAACGCCTGTCAGCTTCATCAGCCCCAACCCACCTCCATGAAGTTGGAGGGTAGGGTGGGGGGGGGGGGGGGGGAGTGAGCCAGTGGTGAAGCCGGTGGTCTGCTAAATCCCCCGAGAAGATCCCGCTCTGGGTGCAGACCAACCCGTGGCAGGACTAGTTCAACGGCAGCGGTGGTCAGAGATGCCTAACGTCACCCCTGCACGGGGGGGGGGGGGACTCACACTGTGTCGTCAGGTGCCCGCACTCGGTGGCCTGCCCGCCCCCCCTCCGGTGCCAGCAGAGATACTTACCTAGCATACGGATGTAGAGCGCCGTCTGATCAGAGCTGTCGTACGAGATCGCCCCACGTCTCTGCAAAAAAAGAATGGCAGCGGGGGGGGGGGGTTAACATTAAATAAATAAAAAGACCCTACATCCTAATAGATGCAGTGTCAGTCCCCGGAGCTGGGGAGTGTAGACTACAGATGGCACAATATCATTTTTTTCTGTTCCGATCCCAATACCAATATTAAAATTCTGAGTATCTGCCGATACCGATCCAATCCCCTTTATCAACTACTTAGCATTAAATATTTATATCAATACATTAGTACTAACTTGCCAAACTATCTGCGTGTTCTGCTGTAGCTGCTTTTGGAATATGCTAAGAATAGTTAAATATGATGGTCATGTTACTCAAACCAAAGCTGTGCTACAGGACGGAATCCACCGCCAGTTACACAAGTCTGCTTCTTTGTTTTATTCAGTAACAACTTTCACAAAATTGAACAGAAATATTTTCCTAAAGTGCAAATTGTGCAGTCGGTTCCCAAATTAAATAAAATAAAGAGATCAATGGTAAAAATATCACTGTACACCCCAAATAACCATTTCTGCCAGTACAAAATATACAATGGAGCCCAAATAAAACTTACAGACGCTCCTCTACTTACGAATGAGATACGTTCCGAACGACTGTTCGTAATTTGAAATGTTCGTAAGTCATTATTCAACATCATTTTAAGGGTGTACAGTACGCAAGTACAAAGAACTAGGATGCTGGGAGTATGTACGCTACACTGCTGTGCTGTGGAAGTAGTCGGCAGAGGTTGTACTAGACAGAATTGGCGCGCAGAAAAAAAAAAACTGATTTTGCGGACAGGAAACGGGAGCCCAACGGACAGAATTTGTTCGTATGTCTGAAAGTTCATAGGTTGAAAATTCGTAAGTAGAGGAGCGTCTGTAATTAAAATTAAGTACAGGTCAAAAGACATCTAGTCTGTATAAATTTTACTGTGTTGAGACTTAAGAAAAATCAGCACTTGCCTTACATACGTTTCACTGCAGTTTTGCTTTTTTCTTCCTTAAGCGTAAAGTACAATAATACCTCCTTCATACTCGCAAAGGTTAGGGGCCGGCGGATGTGAAAACAGGCGATTAATAGACACCACTAACCTCAACCCATAACGCTCTGCTTGCCTGAATGATAATATAAAAAGTCTATTTATTACGTGTCAAAACTAACAGTGTTGTACATTATATAATATACAAACCTTAGTCTACATAATGCCCCTGTAAGTATGCAGTGGAAGAACTACATTTTGGACTCATTAATAAAAATTCAAAATTAACTTTTACAATTTTTACAACAAATTTGTTAAGAAGAAAGATTCCACAGTTACATAGATGGGTAACACACCAGTGAGGCTGGTTGCTGAGACAAAGATGCTCGCCAGTAAGCACTTACATTATGAATTATTATGCACAGTATACATTATATAAATTTCATGTGATCCAAATCATTTTCCAAATTATTTTTGGCTCACGCATCACCTGTGAGTTTCTGCGATCTTTCACCAAGTTTCAAGAATGTGTTCATTCAACTGTTCATGGTCAGTTCGTGCGGAACAAGCATGTAAATGTGAACAGGTTACTGCATTTCCACACAGCCACAGGACAGTTCTGACGCACATACGTTACTGAACCGCTAACCATCATGTGACCCTCACTTCTATTTACAGTATGTCCCGCTCCTAGGCAACAAGCATTTTCACGGTTTTTCAGGGTAGGCCAATCCCTGACGGAAAATCGGATCCGTTTCATACCACCCGATATCTGATCTAGCATTTTTTGCTGGTATGAACCCATAACTCATAGCTGGTTTCAGATTGGTGCCATCTAGTTAAGACCCTGTGATCGGAAGGTCGCTGTTTCGAATCCCAGCGTCAGCACAGTGATGTCACTGGGCCCTGGAGCAAGGCACTGCCTGACCCTCCTTTCTCAAACGTGCGTCACTTTGGATAAAAGCATCTGCTACATAAATAGAAATGTATATCGATACTGTTTAAACTGCACGGGTTATGCCTCAGCATACGGTCACACGTCAGAAGCGGAGATGCAGTCTGAAACCGCCCCTTTTGTCCAGCTCTGTGTGCTGATTGGTCCTCCACAGCACTGTCCTGGATGCCTCACGTGTTTGCAGCCCTTTCAGGGGAGGGCCGACCTCCATCTATACACATGACCGAGACAGGATGTAGGAACAGGGAGCTGCTGGTGAAACGTCATGTATCCACACCTGATAGGATCAGCAACCGAAGCAGCATTCGTCAGCCAAGATACCCGCTCGCCATCCCACACTGTCCCCAGACACATTCTTCAAACCCGCCTGCTGTCTCTCACATCCAGCACTGGCCCCAGATGCAGTGTCTCACATCCCCACACCGTCCTGAAATCCACCTACTGTCTCTCACGTCCAGCACCGGCCCCAGACACAGTGTTTCACATCCCAGCGGCATCTTCAAACCCACCTGCTGTCTCTCGTCTCTCGCACTGTGTCCAGACGCAGTGTTTCACATCCCAGCGGCATCTTCAAACCCACCTGCTGTCTCTCGTCTCTCGCACTGTGTCCAGACGCAGTGTTTCACATCCCCATGCCGTCCTCAAACCCGCCCACCATTGCTCGCATCCTGCACCGTCCCCAGACACTGTCTCTCAAATCCCTGCGCCGTCCTTAAACACAGCTTTGTGCTTTGGATAATGTTAATCTTGTTTTTATACGCCACGGTCTCAAGTCATCATGTGAAACAGTCATCAAGTGTGTTAGTTTGGTGTTACAGGTCATGCTTACAGCAACACGGACAAACACCAGTGCTAGGTCATCGGTTCCGGACCTGAGCCGGTATCTTCCCTTCTTAGACATAATGGGAAGCACAGTGTAAACATGGCAGAAACAATCAATAGACCCAGCTGCATATGCGTGGAGAACAGAGAGGAAGAGGAAGGAAGATTTCTCAGGTGTGACTGTCTCTCTCTCTCTCTCTCTCTCTCTCTCTCACACACACACACACACACACACACACACAGTCCTACCTTCCAAGAGATCCATCTGAGAAGTACGACAAGTGACCAGAGCAGCACAACCCCCATTGGCCTTCCTCAGCACTGAGGAGCATAGGCTCAGTACGTGTGTGTGTGTGTATGTGTGCACCCGTGTGCGCACGCACATGCGTGTGTCCCACAGCCCCGTGTCTGATAAATGACGACAAGCAGTTGGGTTTTGGGAGGGGGGGGGTTGTTGTGCAGCTGTCCTGTCATCTGACTGCGAAACTCCCCGGACCCCCAGCGAGCCTCATTCTTACACCCCCCCCCCTCCCAAAACAGCCCATCTCACCATGGCAACCAGCAAACAGCACCACAAACACTGTGACATGGCTGGATGTGCAGGCAGGGGTCTGCGGCATGCGGCAGAAAATAGTGTCACGCCTCAGCGTCTATGACGAGGGGAGTGGATCAGACCGTACGGCTTTCTGTAAGCGCTCACGCTCGACCTGAGAATCACGGCTGAGGCGTGTGGGCGTGCGTGGGCTGCGGCGCCCGCCTGCGCGGAGAGAACGCTCCACAGCACAGTCCTGGCAGAAGCCTCGGGCATACGGCAGCTGGGGTGGGCATGGGGGATGTTCAGTCCATAGCAGGCGTTGGCCAATCCCCCCCCCCGCCCCAAAACAAGCTGACATCATGACCGGTATCTGCGGAGGCGTGTAGCTACAAATAGCGATATCACAAGGCCTGACGCAGAAGCTCGTCACGGGAGGCAGGGGTGGGGTAACCAACACACGGGTCTCTGTCAGGGGAGGGGGGGGGGGCACCCTTCACCTCTGGGGGGGATATGGGGAGCTGGTCAACTCACAGCTACAGAGGAGATCTTTGATGGATGGATGGATGGATGGATCAATCGATGATGGATCAATGATGGATGGATATCAAGCACATCAGCCAAATGACAAAGCATCTAAATGGACGGATGAATGGATGGATCAATGCATGAATAGATGGATGATGGATAAACGAATGGATGGATGGATGGATATCAGGCACACAGTAATCTCATCAGTCAAATGACCAAGCATCTACGGGGGCTTGAACCACAAGCCTCCTGGTTACAGGAGCAGTGTGTTGTCAGTCGAAGCCCATGCAGTGCACTGATATGGCGTCATAGGTAGAACTCCTACCTTCACCTCCAGCAAACTTCACGGGCCAATTTCATTCAAACAGGGAGTGCCAGGGGAGGTCCTGGCGTTGGATACTGCTGGGGGAGGGGGGAGGGGGTGTTGCTTTGCTAAGTTGGTGCCCCCGCAGACGACGCTCTCCTGGGCAATCGTCCATCTCCTTGCCAGGATCTGCCTCTGGACCAATGTCAGTCCTCACCAAAATAGCTGCTATTGTCCAGTCGCAGCTGCAGACATGTCAAACAATTGGATCTGGAATTCACTCGCAACAAAATCACACTCACACTCCTCGCCAAGCGCAGCAGGCTCCGGCCACCCAGCGGAACACGGCACCTTTGTCTGAGAGGCAGAAATGCCACTGAATGCCTTCGAGAAATCCTGGTGTGGGCATGACCCCACAACACGCCAGCGTGAGCATGCCATTCCACCAGGGGGGGCACCATCCTGACCGTCATCACAGCCCTCACTGGTAGGGGGCAGCACAAAGCCAGCAAAGATGAGAATAAGACCCAGGAACCCTTTCAATCAGTCTGCTCCACAATAACCCTGTTTTTGAATTATTCTGTATAAACGATGAAGGAATGTATCTTAACACACCCATGTAAAGAGCTTTAGGGGACTCTGTCGGGAAAGGAACAATATGAAAAATTAACTGAATTGAAAAACAGCCATCATCCATCTGTAGGACCTTTGACCAAGTGCTGCTGATAGTTCAGCTGTGTACCAGAGTGTAGTTCTGCATAGGGTTACACGACCCCAGAAGATCCCAGAGGGGCATTTGGCTCTGGTTTGGCAGTTCAGGGGCTCACAGTAACCCCCCCCCCCATACAGATTGTGTCACACAAACGTGGCCTCACTGTGAACCCTGACCCTGACTCCACCTAGTAGAGTCAGAAATACAGAGTCTCATAGCCGCCAGGCATCAGTGACTGATGCTATGAAACACACATGACATCTAATTTAGGATTTTTTCTTCACCAGGTTAAAATTAAGTTCCGGTGCCACACATACAGGTGTCCCGTTCCTCAAGTGGCACTCATGAAATCTGAGGGGTTACACCAACAGGTACAGGCACAGAGAGGCCATCGAATTTCCGCTTAGTGCTGCCCAAGTCAAACGGGCGTCTCCTGAAACACAGGGATGTGGGTCTGAAACACAGGGATGTGGGTCTGAAACACAGGGATGTGGGTCTGAAACACAGGGATGTGGGTCTGAAACACAGGGATGTGGGTCTGAAACAGCAGCCTGCAGCAGAGAGATGACACACACGGGAACGCACTCTCCGGCTGCCACACCTCACTCTCACAGTGTCCTCAAACACACTTCACCAACCTGAAAACCAACCTGTGACCAGTCCCACTGCAGGGGTGGCCACCAATCTCATCCTGGGAGGGGTCTCCCGTAACCACACCACCCCCAGCCCCCACTTTCCACAGCTTGTTTGTAAACTGTGGGGGGTTTACAGAGAAGCTTCCCAAATTCAGAGGTGCCCTGTGAAGTGTGCAAAGCACATTGCTGACATACTATGTGTATGTGTGTGTGTAGGTGTGGGGGGGGTTAGGGGGTCACACAAAGGTCACACCTGCCCCCTAAGACAGATGCTCCTGATCGCAGATGGGGGAGGCTACAAGGACATAGTGCGTGTTTGATGTATGTGCAACTTCAACATAAACGCCAGACCAAGGAAAGCTGAATTATCCCACAGTGTTTTGGGGGGTGTCTGAGGGAGGAGGGGCTTGTTTGAGGACAAAACAGCCCCACACTCAAGGGCCAGAGGATATCGACAAAGTGAGAGACAGACGTTGCTTTTCCACCACACAAAGTACTGTACTTCTGGTACTTTCCCTTTTCCACTGACTTCCGGTTCAGTACCAAATGTCACAGTATGGAAAGTGCCAAACCACCTGGGTACTTCTTTGGTACTTTGGGGTAGGATTTGAAAGGCTTTTTTTGTCATTCGGTTATACAAATTACCTGCCTCTGAAACACAATCCAACCACCGTCTTGAAAAAAGCTGCTCAGACAACAATGATAAACAAGGTAAAAACAACAACAACAATAATAATAATAATTATGGATGCATAATTATTGAATGATAAATGAGATACAGGCTTAAATTGTGATCTGGTTGGAAGAACAGATACAACAAATCAGGATAGCATAACAAGAAATAAAGTATTTTGTATAATATACTATCAGTATATTATACAAGTATTATTTAGTTGTAATAAATATTGGGGTATTTATAAAGAAAAAAATTAGTTCAACATGTTTTTCACAAACCCGTCTACGAGTGATTTAAACAGCAAGGATGAAAAGGATTCATTGTCTCGGAGAACGAACGCAGTGTTCATGCAAAAGCAGCAGAGGTAAACTTTAAGCTGATTTTTAAACATATACTAGATAATCTGGAAAAGGAATAATTATTAAAAACACCAAAGCCAGCTGTTTCAGCAAAACTTTCACCCCCTGCGCTATATTGTCCGTACAGAATTGAAGGTAAGAAAAAGCCTGATCTTAATCTAGCTGACCAGCAATGTAAGAATTGAATGTGCTTAACATACGATGTTGGTATTCACATCGCACATCTTCCAGCCCTAAAATACACCATTTTTTGAATTCAGTACAAAATACTTGTGATGTCATTCAATGCTGGTACCGATTTTTGGGTGAGGCTCGCTGGGTGGTATATGGGGCGGAGGGCATTGGGCGGAGGGCATTGGCTGGAGGGCATTGGGCGGAGGGCATTGGGCGCGCTAGACGGTGTGCCAGAGCACAACCCCGCTGATGACGCGAAGGGTTTTACACAAACAGGTTTTGAAACACAAGCCTGCAAACGGCTCTTCTGGCCTCTGACCACATCCTATAGCTAAGGGCACAAGAGAAGCGACCAAAACAGGCTCAGCAGAGGTAAACAGCCTCGTCACGTGGCCCCAGAGCTCCGACCCAGACCCAAACCCAACCCTCAGACAGCAAGCCGGATCTCAACAAAACCCCCACCCCCAAAAAAGTCTCAGAGGGGGTGCAGTGGCTGTCAGTGCTCTCAAATAAGGCCATTTAAGACGAGCCACACAACCACCACTAAACCATGGTAAACTCCTCCCTACAACCACCCCCACCTGCACTGCAAACACGTGAGGCATCCAGGACAGTGCTGTGGAGGACCAATCAGCAGGCTCTGGTGGGAGGGTGGCAGGTCACAGGGTCACCGGCATGTGTAGAGACTCTGTCACAAAGGCAGTCTGCACACGCAGCTCGTGCTCACAGCAACATGGTCAGATGTCGGAACATGAATCACAGGGAGCTTCCATGTTTCATGTACTCTGTGCTCTGACTCCCCCGTACAAAAGTGATGGCAAAGCAGGCCTGGCACTGGCTCATCTGTGCTCTGACTCCTCCATACAGAAAAATGGAGTCAAAGTTCTTAAATTTGGTCTGGAGAGCGATCCGCCGGAAGCTCCCCCCCCCCCAGTAAACTTTACCGCTGGCACCCCCCAACATTGAGCAAGCTATAAGTAGGGGTGGCTTCAGCTACCTCCCTCCAGAAGGGTCTTCACAGCAAAAGCATATGGCCACTACAGGCAGGTCTCCGGTCAGGCTGATGCGGCCAGAGAGACAAAACAGCGGCCCTGGGAAGCAGCGG